TGCATTTCCTGCATGTCCTCGACCCGGGCTCTGCACAGACGACGTCCTGCACACGCTCACGGGCGCCATGTCGCTGCTGCGGCGCTGCAGGGTGAATGCTGCCCTCACCATCCAGCTCTTCTCGCAGCTCTTCCACTTCATCAACATGTGGCTCTTCAACAGACTGGTCACCGAGCCAGACTCGGGCCTGTGCTCCCACTACTGGGGCGCGATTATCCGCCAGCAGCTGGGGCACATTGAGGCCTGGGCTGAGAAGCAGGGGCTGGAGCTGGCGGCAGATTGCCACCTCAGCAGGGCCGTGCAGGTGAGTCCTGCTGGTGCACGACAGGGGAGGGAAGGGCTCAGGCTCAGAGGCGCTCACGCCCTCTGGAGTTGGGAGGAGGATTCCTTTGGACCGAGACCCCTAAGGCACGTTCACAAGCTCTGATGGAAAGAAAGGTTCCAGTTTACAGTGGAGGCGGTGGGCTCTTCAGCCTGCAGGCTGGTGAGCATCAGACGAGCATCAGAGCCAGGTCCTGCCCCTGCTCCTTCCCTGCTCGGACGGGCGGCTCGGGTCTGTCCTGACCAGCAGACCGTGGCCCTGAGCAGCCTAGGGTGACGATGGGTTTGCATCTTCATTTGTGGGTGTGGGAGCAGGTTACAGAGGTCACTGCAGTGGACGTGTTCAGGCTCCGTCACAGGTGATTGGAGTACTTAGGGATGCATCTTAGCTTTCTGAGCGACGTTGTGTAATGCTGTGGGAGAGGGAACATCTGCATCAAGGTCATTCTCTGTTTAGTGAAACGAAAAGGCCATCTGGTAACCTCCTAGCCGTCGTGTGTGGCTCATGGCAGCAGAGCTGTGCTTCCTTGATGCCTGCCTCTCACAGTTTGTGAAGCAGGCAGCACGGTGTTGCCAGTGCTCCTCACAGGGCGTCGTCTGTGGGTGTTGACCATCAGGAGACTTGCCATTGTCTCTCTTTCTGCATAGGCCACCACTCTGCTTACCATGGACAAGTATGCACCTGGCGACATTGCAAACATCAACAGCACCTGCTTTAAGTTGAACTCCCTGCAGCTTCAGGCCTTGTTACAGAACTACCACTGTGCACCGGACGAGCCTTTTGTCCCGACGGTAAGTTAGGGTCAGCACACCTAGTGCGCGTTGCAGCCCTG